AGTGACTAGCGTCTTCAATACACAGTATTATCTATAATGAAATCATCAGAATGGTCTTCTGTATCATCCACATTAAGCTATTTCCTAGCTAAGAGATTTCATTGCAGATTTCGCACATAATCATACTGACTACCGTAGGTCTGAATTAAAAATTTTCTTGATACCAAGGAAAGGACAATGGAATGAGCAGAGAGATCTAAGCAAGGTGTCTGAATTTGGGCAAAAATATCAAACTTTATGGGTATATACCTTGAAAACTACTACTGTAACTGTAACTATCTGTGGCCCTACCCGCCTACCCCCTGCCCCCTCTGACTCCATCCTGTAGAGTATGAATTTTTCATGCAAATTTGAGTATATGTGTTTGTACAACCAAACTGATTCTAAAGCATTAAAAAAAATGTGTCAGAGTGAAGACTACAATGAATTTTTACAAATTTAAGAAATACAGAGTATTTCCCTTAAAGCAGAAACAGAATAAATGTTTAAGAAATCTTAGATGGCTAAGTAGATACCACGTTAATTTTTAAGACATGGTGAAAAAAAGAATTTGACAGTAAGCTAAAAAACAGATTTAATAACTTAATACCTTAAATTTTATGTTATAAAGTGACTAAAAGAGGCACTATGTATATGCTGGAGAGGACACTGAACGGGCCCTACGTCTTGGCCTTAGTCGGCCCTTAATCAGCTGTCTCCTCCCCTCTGAAGCTTCTATGCCTTTACTGAAAGAGAGGATTGCCCGATGTAATATGTAAGGCTTTATCCAACTCTGAAGATCTTTATCCACAGAAAGTTTGTGTTTATATGTAAAAGTATACAGGTAATAGGTATGTTCCGTTTAAACTTGATATAAAATTCTGACCAGCCAGTGAGGTTCAGTGATTGAGCACCCACCTATGAACCAAGAGGTCATGATTCGATTCCTAGTCAAGGCACATGCTTGGATTGCCAGCTCAATCCTCAGTAAAGGGCATGCAGGATGCAGCCAATCAATGATTCTCTCTCATTTAAATATATTTTAAATATATTAAAAAATCAATAAAAATATATTTTTAAATTTGATATAAAATCCCTTGCAATAATTTTACACCATATTGGGTCTTTTGTTTCATAAATTCCTACTTATTTTACTGTGCTTGATTCTACCTCACTTGATTTAAAAGTTAGTCAAACTCAATATAAAGCAGCTATATTTAACACACAAACTTCATTTATGGTTCATCTCACATTAAATTTACACAGAAAGGAGTTCACAGGCCAATCTGAGCAATTTTAGTATTTGAGAGGTTAGATGCAATTCTTTGAAATATTTTTAAGTGTAATTTTTAAAAATGTTTATGTGTTTAAGAAATATCTAAGTTCAAGTGATTGTTAGTGATCATTTGCACCAACTTTCAGGAAGCACATTCAGGGATCATTCATGTTGTCACATATTGCAGGATTTCCTGCTTTTTAAAGGCAAATTCCTATCCCATTGTATGTATACACCATATTTTCTGATGGACAGTTAGGTTGCTTCCACATCTTGGTTGTTGTAAATAGTACTGCAGTGAACATGGAAATACAGATATCTTTTTGAGATTCTAATTGCAATTCTTTAGGATAAATATCCAGAAGTAAGATATTTGGATCACATGGTCATATGCCAAGTGAAATAAGCTGTCACAAAATGACAAATTCCACATGATTCCATTTATATGAGATATCTAAAATAGACAAATTCATTGAAAGAAAGAATGGTGGTTGTCAGGGATTGAGGGAAAGGGGAGTTGATAGTCACATGTATACAGTTTCAGTTATGGAAGCTGGATAAGTTCGCAAGATCTAATGACAAACTCCTACCAATAGACAATACTGTATTGTACATGTAAAGATCTGTAAGAGGGTAGATCTCATATTGTTTTCCTATCAAAATAAAATGTTTAAAAAAAAAAAAGGTATTTCCTTCTCAAATAATACCTATCAAATACCACTGCATTTTCTGAAAATAATGAGACTTCTTATTTTAGGACACCTTTGGTAACTATGTTCACAAATTAGATTTAAGGTACAGCTTAATTGTCTGTACCTTAAACCATGGTAGAGCCGAGAGCTCTGTGCTCCCTGGGCAAACTACATACTTGGCCTGGCATGGAACATATTAATATTCTATCTACACTTCCTGTGGGCTCCTTTGTACCACTGGGTAGAACCAACTTAGTCTTCACTACGGTTTTCTCTCTGTCCTTGCACATAAAAACCTTCATTCTAGGATTTGATAACTTTGCATGGGTATTAAGACTGGACCCAAATTTTATTTACACTCAGGCCTACAAAATTTAAGAGCTGGGTGGAACCTTGTCATGTATAAATTAAAAAATGGAAGCCTTTGCATGTAACCAGAGAGAAATCCACAGCATTTATGACACTCGCTTTGCTTATTTTAAAATTTGCATAGCTAAGGAAAAGTTGTGACTTTCTTTTCATTATATGCAATTTTATATAAGGAATAAAAATGAGCCATGGAGATTTCATCCTCTGGCAAAATGCTTTACATAATTATTCTAAACACTAAATTATCAACAAAGAAGTTGGACCCAGCCACAAAAGATATTTCATATACTTGGAATATCAATTGCTAACTATATTCTTATTCCTATTTATCCAAAGATAAGTGTTCATATTTTTTTAAAAAAACTTGAGAACAAAAAAGAATTCCTTCTAATTAACTGCACAGTACAAAAGCTCTTAAACTGAAAATCAAGTTTTCAGATACTGAGACTATTTTATGAGGTGATGTTAGCTTGTTGCATTGAATTGACCTTGCAAATCAGCTAACATCATGCAATCAGAAATCATTTCTGCGGGAAATCACATAATTATTTGTAACAGTCCCAATGACATCTCAAATTGCATAGCCTGTGTGTTTTCTAGCCCAAGTCCCGGTCTTCCACAAGGATTCCCTTTTATGACTCTCACTGTCTATGCTCATTTCAGTTGTGTTTCTACCAAGTAATGGTAACTAGTGATTCTATTGTGTGTATTTTAGCTGTAAATGAAAACATCACTAACAAGTACAGAAATTTAATGGAAATATTGCTTTTGAACTGAGAGAGAGCTGTTGTTTTCTTTGCATATTACTTAAAACAATGGATTATTCTTTGCATTAAAGTAATTTGGGCACATACACAGCTGTTTAATTCTATATAATTTTCCATGTTACCATCGCTGATATTAGCAAGAATCTGACTAGAAATAATTATTGACATTTCCCCCCCTCTTTATGGTACATATGATACTGGGGCATCTCACATCAGTAACACCTCAGACTCAATAAAACATGATCTTTCCTAGCCACTTTTTGTGGAGAAAAACAAAACAAAACAATCTTCTTTGATAGAAAATAGAGAATTTTAAGAACATTTGCTTGAACACTTTATACCTTGAAAGTACTCTTAACTGTGTAAGCACTATGTATTTAATATACACACAAATCAAGTATAGGTGAAGGCTTCTGATTTCCCTTCAAGACCTCTAACACTCGCATTTGCAGATTTTTAGAAATCAACCTTGTAATCATTTTCACATTTGTAGTCCCTCTTTTTCGATAACACACGTTAGCATTTTGATGTTGATGCTAGCTAGCATTTACACTCACAGGAAAACTAACAAACATCTCTCTCTCTCTCTTTTCATTTACATCTGCAGTTGCCTCTGAGATGGTATAACCATAGATAGTGTTTGTAATCAACTAATTATATTTTTTCACTTTTGGAACAGGGCCCTAGCAGTCATATAGTGAATCTAATTTAAAAAAAGGCAAATGGCAAAGAAAATTTGAAAATGAAAAGTATAGAAGAGCAAAGAGAAAAAAACAAACAAAAAAACTCTACATTTACTTTATTTTCCTGGTACAAATGACCCTTTCTCTCATCTTGGGTTTAACACATGTGTAGTTTGAGAAGGGAGATAACTTAAGTTCATGATTTTAGCCAGATGGTTGGCCAGTGGAAGAAGAGAAAGGCATTCTCACATGCAGAACCTCATTACTGACCAAAAGTCATTTAAAAACACAAAACAGGGTTTGAAAAGACCTAAAATGTCTTCCCAAAGCATATTTGTATGAATGTTTCTATATCTCCTCCTGCACTGTAACCGGTCTTTGTATTTCCATTTAAACTACTATTGCTAGCTATTTGGGTTTTAATTTTTCCCTTAGTCATTTATGAGATAGAAATAATCACCAAAATGTGGAAAGAACATAACGAACATGCTTAAAAGTTCACTTTTATGAAATATTAAAATACGTTGCTGTCTACATGTCTGCAAAGGGAAGCAACCTAGAATCAGATTCACTCAACTCCTCACAGAACATTTCCCAAGAACCAACCCCTCAAAGGACCAAGATCATTTCACCAGGAATTTGGCTCATGGAAATAGTTTTTTAAGGAAAATATATGGCAGGCAGTAAACCCCTGACAAAGCACACTTTCCATTCCCCAGGGAAAAGAAATGAGGCCCCAAAGTAAAAACTGTCAATTCCTGCCATCACCTTGTTGTGCTGAAAGGTTCAATTATATCACAGAGAACTTTAGAACGTGCTAATTTAATTAGAATATGACAGCGTCAATCTACCTAAGCTTTCCCTATCTCACAAATTAGCAAAATTTTTATTTAAATACAAACCCCTTCTCTGTCTTCACCAAGGACATGCATAATGTGTATGAGCAGTGCTATCAAAGTACTTTTTATTTCCTTTCATTTTTCTTTCCTTCTTCCTTCCCAAATTATTTTGCATTCTTATTTCAGACATCTGCATCTTTTATTGTCACAGTTTAGGAACCTGCATAATATGATGGCCATAATGAAAAGTAATCACACTCCACACTGATGAATGGCTACTTACAAAATGATTTCTATCATTTAAAGGAGAAAATGTAATTGAAACTTCAAACTCCAAATAAAATGCTACAACTCAAATGACACTGACTAGCTATGAACTTCTTGAAGTCACCCACCTGGGGCAGCATGCGATTCTCTTCCTCCAGCTGTCTTACTCTTGCCTCCAGCTGCCTAACATAGGACAAGGTTGATTCTAAAATTGAAAAGAAAGAACTCACATTATACACACAGGTCTTGTTCGTTGCACTGTCAGGCTATTTCTGGCTTGATTTATTCAAATCAGGTAGTGACTACTAAGTCTGTTATTTAAAAAAAAAGAAAAGAAAAGAAAAGAAAAAAACAAGTTTCCTTCCCCAGAAAAAGCAATAACAGAAGCTATTGAAACTACACGCAGTTTGAACCATTGGACAATGTTAAGGAGAATTCGAGAAATTTATATGGGTGGTGAGATTTTTAAAAGTTCACTTTTATGAACTATTAAAATATGTTGCTGTCTACATGTCTGTGAAGGGAAGCAACCTAGAATCAGATTCGCTCAACTCCCCACAGAACATTTCCCAAGAACCACACCCTAAAAGGACCAAGATCATTTCACGAGGAATTTGGCTTATGGAAATAGTTTTACAAGGAAAATATATGGCAGGCAGTAAACCCCTGACAAAGCACACTTTCCATTCTCCAGGGAAAAGAAATGCAGGCTTTTGAGGCACTATGTAGTCCTCAGAACATTAGACATCTTGAAGACAGCTGTTTTTTCTTTTCGATTTATTCTGTTCTGCACCACGCATTTGATTTCAATGAGCTGCACCACGCGTAAGACTTTTGTAATGTTAATTATAACCAAGATAAATTACAAGGTCATATTAAAAATAGAAAGATATTTCAAATAGCCAGTTCCTTTTATTATACCAATAAATATTTCAGATGTTTAAGACCAACATTTTGTTCTTGTCACAGATCTACAGGTATTAAGACAGTATTCAGAGAATGGCTAGGAAAGGGCTACATAATGAGAGTTGGGCTGAATTTTGACTGTCATTTTGGCTGTGTGTGACAGAGACCCAATTTTCCCCCAAATCTCCAGGTTCACCAGGGGCAGACTTGAAATTAGTTCTCGTTTTAATTTCATCACAAACTCAGGTGTGTGCTGAGCTCACTGTCAGCATCATGCTTTTCCTGTTCCCTATTGAAACTCGAAAGTTCACAGCTTTACATCAGGAAAGGGATTTCATTTTAAGGAACAATCTGACAGTAATAGTTTCATAAAAGTGAAAGTATTCAAGCACATCACAGAGAACATAGCTGCCATTCATTACCCCAAGAACAAACATTTCAGGTAAATGTACACAACACAGAATCCAGAGCATATTTGCAGAGTTGGCATTAAAGCGGCAGATCTTCCTCAGTGCATATAAGAGGCAAGTGTTTGGAGCCCCTAACAGTCTCAATGTAGGATGAATATTGATGCAAATTAATATTTTGATCTGAAATTCATCATAGAAACTCTTTAATTTTTACATGGAAATAGATTATATCACCTCCAAATCATATTTGTGACCTCTAAATCAACATTTTATTTTCTTAAAATACGTAAGAACTTCCGGTCTTTAATTCACAAGTGTAGCACCTAAGCTCATCCCTAACGTTTTTACACAAGCCTATTTTCACAAATATTTGCAGAAAGTCGTTATCCTGACATGAACATGACCACCCATTGACCTCACACCAAGGGAGAACATAGCCTTGAGCAATCCTCACATAACATGGAAACACAAGAGGAAGGAAACTAAAGACATTTGCTGGAAATATGCTCTCATTTTTTTTTTTTTTTTTAGCTCAATGAAATGTTAAAGTTTGCTTTATAGATTCTTCCAAATGGAAAAAAAAAGTATATGGCATAAATGAATAACAAACGTATTGATTTCATGAATCTACTTTACTCTAGCAAATGAATATGCAATTTGTGGATCATGAAGATGTGAATGTAGATTGCCTGATTTACAGTTCTGCAAGCCCCAGTTTCAACTCTAGACAGCCACTTAAGAAGGGCCATCCAAGTGCAAAGTTGTCCAAAAACGTTCTATTTAAATCACGAACAAACACATTTCTTTTCTCATTTGTCCATAATTTATAACTTACCTTTATTGTCCCTATACTATACTCCTGGGGCTGTAATACTTAAAACTGGCTGAAATGGCTCTATTCAGAGTGCTTCAGGTGATATTTGCAAAATGTCACTAAATAGATTTTAATTCAGTTCAGTCTCTTTCATCTATTTCTCTTTTTTAAAATCTTTGCAGTATACATATGTGATGTGAAGCTTTCACTAAGTTTCTACTTATATTTCAAAAGTTACATCAGTACAAAAAAATGGGGGGAGTCGATTCCTAAATTTGGAAAATATTCCTATCTCCAATTTTTAATGTCAAATTACAGTAGGCAAAGTTCAAAGATTTGCTTCAAAGCACTCAACTGCAAATATAGGAAAAGCTAGGGAACATTTTATACAGGTAAAATAGGAAAAAAAATAGCTTTATCATAAACACAAACCTAAGGGTGTTGTGAGTTCGTTCATTAATTCAACAAATATTTACTGTGGCACTAATTTTTCTCAGGTACTAGAGTTGGGATGAAAAGATGACCAGCTAGCACAAGTCTTAGGTTCCTCAGAGCACAAATTCCATTAAGGCTTCCACACCCATATGCTGTGATCCAGAAGGCCCTGCTGTTCCAGGCTCAGCCCTAATTCTCTGCAGCAATTATTACTTCACAATGAAGGGATAAAACAAATGAGAAAACTTCTGGGGGAGGAAGGGAAACAGGAAGAATAGCTGATGTGCATGCATAAATAAGAGAACTCATGCTGTTAGTTGTTTTATTCATCAGAAAACTGATTATATAATCGTTAAATGGGAGTGAAATAGACAAACATTTTTCTAAAATATACTGGAAGGTCATCACTGAGTCCCCGAATCCCTTTATGAAGAGACACTGGGAAAACCACCCAATCCTTTGGGAAGTGAGAGAAAAAACAGATACTTATTTTGTTAATCCCTTAGGGTTTCAAGGTTTATTTGTTATTGCACCATAAACTAGCTAAGCCTAACTATTAGTACATAAGAAATAATGGGATAGAAAATATGTGAACATTTGTAAAGTAAAAAGCTCCATACTTTCAAAATATTCACATCATAATCCCCATCCTCATCCTGGGTGATCATTATTTAAAAAATCTGAAATCTAGTGTTTGAGAAAGGAGCCCCTTCTGACCCAGAGGGACATCTTTGGCCATGTCTGCTGCAGTGCCTTCCCCCTGCCACCTCCTTTTTCTACCTTCCACAGGGGAGTTCCAGAGAGAGTGGTGCCAACTGTAAAACAGCTGGTCTTCCATTGCACCTGGGGAGGGAGAGCCCAGTTGTGCACTGACCTGAGAAAAGTGTCTGACAAAGACTGGAGTTCTTTCTACTTATAAAGTACTCTCACTCGCACCGATCCTTATGCTTTATACCAGTGGCTCATAGCTAGTAACATTGAGATTTCAAAATGTCATTTTGGCTTCCAGAACTGAGAATGAGCTCCCCCTAAAAAACAGCCAACTACTGAGCTATACTCTACATCGATGTGCAGTGTATTAGAGAAGTATATTACCAGTTGGGGAGAGAAGGCAACAAATAAAACAATAAGGTGAGAGGGAATTCAGTGCTAAAGCATGTGACCCAGCAGTACAGAAAGAGAGAAATATCGGTCATAGTTCCTTGAATGAGAAACCTGAGCCTAATGGATCGATAGCAGTTTGATAGCCAGAGAGATGGGAGTGGAGCCACAAGATGGACAAGGGCTGGAAGCCAGGAATAATCCTGTTGTAAACAGGGGGAGCGGGGAATCACAAGAAGGAAGAAAAGGGAAACACTGAGGAGCAAAAGGAGGAAAGGCCAGGTTGCTCCCACAGTCAGGATCTGAAAAGCCAAAGCCAAGACAGCTATGCAGGCAGTGATTTCAATTTCCCCCAAAGTTATTTTATGTATCTTTCCACCAGGGGAAACCTATGGGCAGCTGCACATTAGAAAAGCAAGGATAAGCAAATGATACCAATGTGAGAATCCAACCACGTTCTCAAGGTGTTCTTTGGGTAAATCTTGTGCATATTTTCAGAGCAGAAACAATTTCTCTCCATGTATCTCACTTTTATTTGAACCTACATATAAAAATCTACAGCACTTCTTGCAATTAAACAAATGTAAGAAATAATTGTAAGAATTCCACTAAATTCCCATCTTCTAAATGATTCCAATTTTAGAACTGGAGTGCACCTTAGAAATTTCCTCACCCAATCTTCCCTCAATCCCCTACTCATTTGGTAAATGAAAGAATAAAGCCCAGAAAGCAGTGAACTTGACCTAACACTGGGAATCAGTAAAATATATTCAAAAGATCTTGTTTCATTGCTGGGTCATCATAGTTATTCCCATCTTGGATCTTCTAATCATCACTATGTTCAGCTTCTTACATAGATAAATTCTAAGTTCTCTCTTGTTCTTTCCCCATTTAGATATTCTGAAAGGATATTTACATTTACAATAGCTTGATATTTCCCTTAGACAAATACCCTGCACTTGATTTCACTTCAATTTACTTGAAATACATTCGATCATACAAAGTAACTCAACCTTTTCCTCTGATAGTTCTAAAATTCTCTGATCAAAATATTAAACCCTCACATTCCCCCTTGGTTTGTAAAGTGGTGTTTCTGAGGGCAAACACCCGTCCTTAAAATCACCCATTCGGACTCTGAGTGCTGTACATAAAAGGTTTATCATTGGTAGCTGCAACTGTCTAAGGTTTGTCATACTTTTGAGTGGTTTTGATTAGACAAAGCGCTGTCTGGTTTTAGGGAAGAAAATAAAATCTGGTGATGGTCCATTCCAAGATAAATTACAGCATTTGGAAGAGTGTAAAAGAGAACAAGCATTTGGAAACTAACCTATAGATATAAGTTTTTCTGTGGCTAAGTGTCAGTCCCCGTGGGCCCGAGAGTGTCCAATGGACTTCAAATCCGGAGGCAGTCTCTTCATTCAACCCCAAAATCTAAAGACACCAATTGCATTAATCCTAAATTCATCCCACTATCCACAGGCTTTTGCACATTACAAAGAAAATTACTTCAGAATTGTATTTCCAAAATTATTACTGTTC